ACAGCCACTACCGCATGTCCGTTCCACCAGCTCAAGGTTGGGGGTAGCGTACTCGGCCGTGTTGTGCCGATTTCAATAAACCCCACCTAGCAAGATCCCTTCAGGATTGCTCAATCTACCTCACCACATTGAAAAGAGCTGCCCCAAATTATATTCTCTGTTGCGTAGTTGCTCTCACACTAAGCGCAAAACCCAACCAACTGAATATAAAGATCTTCCCACCCAGCTGTGCCCTCATAGGGGTTTGACTGAGTGCAACTGTTGGGGATAGATCAGGGTCGACAAATAAAAAAAAAAAGTGAAGAATTTGCCCCGTGCAGCGTGCTGGCTTGGTTTGACAAGGTGTTCTCCTGACATGGCCCAATTCATTCAAATTTGCTTAATTAATGTGGACCTCAAATGTCTGCAGGCAAATATAGCAGCTTGAGTTGGCCCTGCCCAGTGATTCTAGCCAAGGTGTTGGGCACTGAAGATGTAGGATAGCCAAGAGGTGGTGGTGGTGGGTACTGAAACGTCTAATACCAATCAATTTTTCCACAAATGTTGACTATGTAACTTGCATCCCACTACTTTTAGACTACCTAATGCACATTGGATTTTTGGATATTTGGCTTCATATCTCATGTGATACAGGTTCATTGCTTGAAACGATCCAAGGAGGACCTTGCTCTATTATGACTGAGAGAAGACAAGTCTGTCCCTGTACTTTGTTTTTTGTTTTGAAAATGTGATCCGTCTCTGCACAAATTCGACGGGCAAGCGGACCAGTTGATGGATTACTTGCGAAATTGCTTTCATTTCGTTGGACGAATCGGTCAGTTTGATTCTTGGCTGTTCAGGAATTAGCATTCCAAGCTGTCCAAGTACATGACCAAGAAAGAAACGAATGAATTGGGTGCGGAGCTTCCTGGCTTCTCGCACGAGTTCTTTTTGATCAACACGAGTGGAGATTCCTTGAGGGAAAGCCTTGGCACTGAGAAAATCAATCCTCTGAATCATTTCATGAAATGTCTGAGGTATATTTGGGCTTTGCATGAGTTGATCAACTTCATCTTTTTCAGATGCACTATATTTTTGCAAGTAACTGGTCCTTATTTCAAAAAGTGTGGCAATCAATCCAAAAATGCAAACCTCTGGAAATTTGCAATGCATTCAGATTTTGTATGTGTTTGATCAATCTTTCTGAATGAAAACAAATCTGTTCAATGGCTTACCTTCAATGATGAAGACATTCTGGGCAAGTTTAGGAACTTCTTCTGGCAGATCCAGAGTAGTGAAAACTTCACTATAGTTTTCAATAAAATAGTCCAGAATATCATTTGCATTCCAGAGTAGGAATGCACCTACATCGTTCCAGATATTGCTTCTATCTTGATGAACTGGAGTTTCTTTGCAACTGGCCAACAGCTTTTGGGAGAAGAGACAACCAATGGAGGGGATCATTAAATTTGTTGCCATGTGAATCTAATTTTATAGCAGCTTACTCAATCTACTTACTTTTTCAGTGTGAACCCCCTTACTTAAATTTGTGCCATAAAGTGTATCTTCCTCCATTTGACTTACGGGGGTTGAGGATATGCAAAGGGCCAATCTTGGTGATAATGGAAATGGAAAGAAAACCAGGAAGATGAGTTGACATAAGTTCATTTTTACTGGATGTGCTGGCAGGTTTTCCAAAAAAACTTCATGTGTTTTGTTTTTTCAATGGCACCTTGAAAATCATTTCTTCTTCAAAGTGATTATTCTTTAATATTATGGTTAAATTGAATTGTTGTAGAAATTTGTTTCAATTAATGTTGGGGCAATTTCAGAGGGAAACATGTTTGAACCACAAGTACTGAGCTTGAATCAGGCCTCCAAACAAAAATAAAGATATTTCTGTATTAAATTTAATGTCACAGAAACTTAAAGAGATGTTTTAAAAAATGATCAAATATCATGTTTCCTGTGAAAATCAAAGACTTGTCTCCTAAGACAATACCAAGTATATCAAGTACTTTACAAATTAGACTTGGGCATGATTGCATGCTACAGGGTCAATCTTTGCTACTGGTGGATTATTTACCCTTTATGATGGTTTAAACATGTGCTCAACAGGCAAGATGAATTAAGAAACTATTTTATGGGTGTTGGCACCCAGTATACACCCAGCCAATTTTGAATGAAAATTTGTAAAAATGGCTGGGCGACTGTGTACACTGGTTGCTAGATGTGTACCAAAAAACACAAAACAGTAGCTAATGATAAAGCCTTACAAAGCAGAAAATTATCTTCACAGGATTTTTTTCATTATTAAAATACAATCAGGACATCACTGGTGCTTTCAAGAGGCCTGTAGCAACTAGCTGTTATATGAATGATTGATAATGAGCAGTTTCCAAACTTGAACAGCCCCCTGCTGGAGGAAAATTACTGGGTTTCTTTGCCCCCATGGGGGATAATAAGTTCAAGCAGTTCCAGGGATATTATGTTCATTTTTGTCAGCCCTCTGTAAAAAAAAATTGGAATACCTTTTGTCAGACTTAGGTTACTTACTGGAGTGACGAGATGTAGTAACTATAGTCGGACAAGATGAAAGAACACGCCTTCTAAGAAGTAATAGAGTAGAACATTAGTTTAGTTTCAGCGCGGCTCAGAGATGTCTCGATGAGGCTTACACGGATCTTCCAGCAGCTGTACAGCTGGGGCAACTAACCTCTGAGGAGCAGATAGTTAGGGAGTTAACACTTCAAGTTAACAAGCAGTTGAACTAGTCATAAGGGAAATTCGTAGAGGCGTAAGAGGATCGTAGGACAGTCGTGAGGAGGCGTGAAGTTGGGGACGAATTCAAGAGCTCAAGAGAGCTAGATACTGATTTAAGGGTAGTCTTCAGGTCGAAGCCTTCTATCCAGGTAGTGAAAACCACAAGCCTAAGCTAATAGTTAACGAGTGCTGGTCTAGTCGGCTAGGTGGGCTTGATACTAGGTTCAATGTAGTAGTAGCTAGTCAGGTTTCTGTAATTGTCTGAGGAAGGAAAAGAAAGGGAATAACAGCCAGTGACTCTCTTAGATAATATTAGAGGTCACCGGCTGATTTGTGGTCATTCTGTTCGTTGGGTTCGACGAATAGTTTAGAAAAAGTAGATCTTTCTTTCAACGATTGGGGATCAGGACGCGTCGCGCCGCGTTGATTCTAGTTGTGCCGCAGAATTGTTCAATATTTTTTGTTTATTCATTCCTTGTGCGCTATGGCTTTATTTCCTTAATGTATTTTATTTCTTTCTTTTTATTTATTCTTCTTCAATTCTTATGAGGGGGTTAGGATTACTAGACCCCTGAAACATTTGGGTGGAGTATTGTCAGAAACAATGACCTCTACTGTGAAGATCATTAAATCATCACAGAGTTCCCTTTTGCATGCAATATTGTGTCCCATTTCATGATCTATTCCTAAGTTCCATCTTTCATTCAACCAACATTCGGAATGCACTTAAATGTGCAAAACCAAATCTATCATCATGAAAATCAAATTTGAAATGTGCTCATGAGATAAAAGGGAATCAAGAAACACTTCACCAAATTAACAACTAACAAATGGAAGTCTTCCCGTCGAATTTACAGCCCCCTGTAAAGCTATTTTTACAAGCTCGTGAAACCGTTTTCCCAGCAAAAAATTAGCTTTACAGCCTGTAAATCTAGCTTTACAAGGCCTGTAAAACCCACGGGAAGTCCTCCAATGTTTGAATAAAATTCAAGAAAATCTACCCATGTTTCTACTAAGTCAAGTAAAGAAATGCCATTGGATACAGACACACATCTATTTTGCATTTCTTCGATTTGTATCAAATTCAATGGCTGTGGCCTTTTTCTTCCAGGCAATGTAGCAAAGTCACCATATACTATATTTGAAGATTGCCTTTGGAGTGAGCTTGTATAGTTCCTCTTCCATCTTCTTCTCTGCCGTCTTTCTCAATCGGAAATCTTGCACAGGTCTGACGTACATGTGCCAATAGGCCACTCGCGCGATTCGCCTATTGATCTTTGCCAGGTGATAGGACGACTCAGGCAATTGAAAGATCGATCTTTCAGGTAAAGGCCATTCAAGCTTTCCGTATAAGTGAGAAAGAAAAGCAAGGCGAAATTGGATGCTGATCTTCATGTATTTCTCTTTGTATTCTCCGGATTGATCAATATCCATGTATTTTTCAGTGAACGTCTTGGAAGAAATCCGATCAATCTTCTGAATAATGGCATAGAATTTTGGTGATAACCTTGGGTTTGCCAGCATTTCATCAAATTCATCTCGATCAAATTTGTTATAATGTCTGAAGTATTTAGTTCTGCAGTCAAACATGAAATCTATCATTTGAAAAAAGCAACCACCTGGATTTTTACGACGATTCAAGCCTTAGCTAGACCTTGATAGTTGGTTTGAACAAAATCAGTAGCATTGGATTGCTTACCCTCTATGTTGAATTCCTTATGACATACTTTAAACTCTCTTCTCAGGGTATCACTTGTCTTATTTTCTGGGGAATTCCACGGCTCGAAAAGCACATCGTAGTTTTTGTCAAAGCAGTCCAGAACTTCATAAGCACATTGCAGTAAGAAGTCTCCTAGAATATCTTCAACGTTGCGATTTTTATAAGCTGAATTCGTCAACTTTTGGAATTCGAAAAACAATGGGCTTCATTGAGCTCCTTAACTTAATCGATGAATATGATGATATTTAATCTACTTACAATGTTGGCATCAGCCCCTCCTGATAGATCTCCACCATCGAAGAGTGCCGCTTTACCTATGGTACCCAAAGGCTTTGAAAATATTGGCAAGGCCGATGTTTGTGTTAATAACAATGGAAAGAAAGCCAAGGAGAGGTCCCGGGCCAATCGCATTGTATTTCCAACGAGTGATTGAATTTTTGTTTCAAAATGTTGCAAAGCTTTGATTAGTTAAATTACTGGTGCGTTATGGCCTAATTGCTTGAGGTCACTTTTCCACTCTGATCGAATTCCAACAAGTTCAAATGGAGTCTCAGCGGAAGGCTAGTGGCGGCCTAGTGCCATGACTAATCTTCAAAACTATTTTTTGCAAATACAAGAAATTTTTTGGTTTCAAATGTGGTATCTTCAGAGATCCAGTGTGATGATTAAAAAGAGGTATCTATTTGAAGCATCGTACACTTGATACCAGAAAGGAAAAGTGAATATGTGTGTGCAGTAGATTTTTGGCGGACGCAATATTGCCGCTTCCAAACGAAGTCGTTCCGCAGGCAGGGCCTGCGACATCATAGAGGGAGCGGTAAGACCTTTCACCACGCGGTTTCAACTACAAGCAGACGTCCGCCTGAACAAAAAAATTGGGATTTTTTTATTATGGTTTCTTGAACTTTTGAATTGCTGCCCAGATCCCTCACATCAAGAAATCACTTAATCACAGTATGATTTGATGATTAGGGGAACCACATAGCCGCAATTGCCTCCTTCGAAGTGTTTAATGGGCTGGATACTATTACCAGAGACTGCACTTCCTCTGAATGGGAGGCACAGCAAGCAATTACAAAATCTCTTCTTGCCGTGAGGGAGTCAGTCAAGTTGGGATTGAATTCAGAAATACCCAAAAAATGCACAAGAATCAAGTTCAATGGAAAATGGAATTCTATCAGCAACAAAAACATTCTCAACTTGATGTCAAATATGCAGGAAATATGAGACAAATTTATCTTGGGTTCATGTGGAGTTTCAATAGGGGCTTTCTCAGGATAGTGGAGGACTTACTGTTGTCTAAATTTGTTCATTTATGAAGAAGTACTAGAATTTTTTGGTGATAAGAATTGATTTTGATCAACTTTTCATCAAACTGTAAGGTTTAGCACCCCATTCTAGATCAAGCAATATAGACAATGGGAATATGTCAAATTGGTAATCCAATCAATATTAAGATTTCTCCTGTTACCCGCCGGCTGGTGCCGTGTGCAGGTACAGGTAGTGTCCGATAATTGTGAAAACACCAAGGGTACCTGGACAAGCCACAGGTACCCAGGTTCACTCCCTTTTTCTGGTTTCAAAAAATCCAAAGAGAATAGAAGGAAGAGAGACTGCGGCATTGACCACTCTATCTCAACAAATGGTAGTTTTTTCAGGAATTTTTTTCCATACAATAATCAGTGGTGTGTGCTGGTTTTAACATTTAATCTGATAGGAAATTGGGGATTCCAAATGCCAGAGGTTTATAGCAATCTGTTATTTTCTTTTGTTATTCAAGAGAAAGCAGGGGCAGAATTAAAACTTTTCAATTCCTCAAAGAAGCAAAGGATTTAATGAATCTTGAAAGTTAGAGGAAAACAAAATCCTGAAATTAAAACTTTTTGATTGAAAATAATATTGATTGGGAAATAGGGGGGAAGGAGTGTATCTAGAGTGAGCTGAGAGAGAAAGACAACAACATAAAATAAAAGATAAGTAGTGCAGCCTCACAAAGAATTAAAAAGTTGGCATGCAAGTTTCTAAAATCAATCACCCACATGATGTATTTGCTAACAACAAATTGTGGTAAAAGAATATTGAGTGGCAACACACAGTTGATTCAATGCACATATATTTTTCCATTGTGTATAGACTTTTTATTAGATTATACCATTTTATTAGACATTTACGATGATTCCCAGAAGTGAATCCTGATAATTATTTTGTAAGACAATTAACTGCAGGATTCATTCACTCATTAGTATGGATGGAGTTGAACTACATATCTTCTATCTTCCACTCTTCCAGCCTTCATCTTGAGGCATTCCTCCCAGATCTGTGATACAATTCCCAGGTGATCACTTGGGCAACTCGACCAAAGATCTGCCTCATTGCGGGGGATGGATCTGACAGAGAGATATTTCGCTCTTCAGGGATCGGCCATTCGAGCCCTCTGAAGACATGAGCAACAAAGACAAGGCTGAATTAGGTGCTGAGATGCTCTATCTTTCGTTTGTATTCTTCCGAACCAACTTGACGGTCTTTGGGAAAAGACTTCATAGAAATATTATCGATCTTCTCAAGTAGTTCGTAAAATTTCGGCGACAGCTTTGGCCTTGTCAACATTTCTTTGATTGTGCGTCTATCATCTTTGCTCCATTCCAGCAGGTATTTTGTTCTGACATGGAACAACACTTTTATTAATTTGAAAAGGCAAGCACCTAAAATCTCCCCATGAATTCAGCTTCCTAATCTATGATGTTCTTATAACAGGATATAGAAGATTCTTTTTCCGGATTGCTTACCATTTATTTTGAACGTTTTTTTAGCCTTTTCCTCTGTGAGCATATGCTTCGTATCCAAACGATTTGTCAGTACATACCAGGTGTTAAAAAGCTCATCGTAGTTTTCATCAAAACACTCGAGAACTTCATCTGCACATTGAAGCACGAAAGCTCCAACATCCTCTCCGTATTTCCTATCTTGATTTTTCAAACTCAACATCTTTTTGCAAACAGATAAACCGGGACCTTTTTGAGCTTATTTATCTACCAAATCCGTGAATCAAAATTAAGATTAAAAGCTTACCCGGTAGGCGCGATCTGCGGGCGTTGAATCTCTGCCGTTGTCAAGTGCTGCTTTTTCTATTGTGCCAAGAGGTTTGAGAATACTGGAACAGCTGATGTTGTCGGTAAAAACACCGGAAATATAGCCAAGGAGAAATAATAATTTTCCCAGCGCATTTTTATCAGATGGCCAAGCCAAGTTAATGAAAATCTGAAGGGGTGTGGTTGATTTGATGCTTGATGGGTTCTATCCTGAATTCCCTCAATTATCTTGTTTGGCTGGATTGTCAGTCCAGTTCAAAGCAAAATTTTGTAGAGCTTTGTCTTAAGGAAAATGTGCAAAATTAATTCCAAAATTATGTACATGCACTGCTTCAACTGAGAATCATGTGTGAAGCAGTACCTCAGGGGCTCTGCAGGGGGGTTCAATACGTTGTATATGTGATCTGGTTTGGACTTGATTGTGTTTCATGCTTTTTTGCGTTACAGTTCCACTCAATCTTGAGGTCAATGTTTTTTGAGTTTTGTTTTAGTGACGGCCAGGTCAAAAAATACAAACCACAAACAATATCACAAATCCTTGTAAAAACAGTCTCAACTGTGTGTCTATCCATTGTATTAAGTCTGATTGACCTTGCCATTTGGTTTCAACATGAAGCTCCATGGTGCAAATACTGCAATTTCCTGAGCAACTGAACAACAACAAATTGGGCAACCTGTGGAGTCTGTGAGAATTCCAACTGATTGCAACATGCTCTCCTATAATCATCATTAGATGAAAAACAATAATGGGATGATGAGGGAATGGAGGAAGTGAAAAATGATTTGTAGCTTAACTTATAAGTTACCAGAGCCTTTGTAAATTCCCCAGGGATCCCGCAGGAATCAATTCTGCCTCCTTCAGGAACACATATTGGAGCCGGCACTTCTTATGGCATGACTGTGCATGAGGATGCTGTCCACAACCCCGTCTCCGGATCAGGGCATAGAGTCCAAACTTCACTGTGCAGTCCTCGAGGGGCTGGATGGCGTTTAGAGGGGGGTCAAAAACGCTGAGGGGACCGGCGGACGTCTTGGCGTGGGAGCCTTGACGAGGGCTCCCTCATGCAAATGTGGCACAGCACGTCACCGCTACGTCGGTTGACCGGCAAGCCACTTTACACATCATAGCCTGCATCTCCCAGTGGTGGTGCCAAGTTCCAAACTTCGAATAGAACTTACCACTTGGACAACAACACCCAAGCTCCATCAAGGAAAACTGATCGGTAAAGGAACAACCACAACGAATATCAACAAAAAACAACAACACAAACACGACTCAGGGAGAGACCAAAGGAAGAAGACAACAAGATTATAGTCGAGGCAAAAGGATTAAGATAATGTTGTGGACACGGACGACGAAGCTGATCGTGGCGCCGATCTATCTGATCCTGATCTCGAACGGCCTGATCAACTCTCTCTACTTCTACCTCGATGCGGGTGCTCAACGATGCTTCATTGAAGACCTTCCTCTGGACACAATCGTCAATGGTATGTGGGTTCGAATTATTTTGGTGTTAGGTTACTCTTTTTCATTGACAACCACCTCACATCTGATGTAATACATTTTTACCGTTGGAATAGGCAAATATAAAGGCGAGGAATACGATAACACAAAACATATCTATCATGTCAACCCTCAACTCGGCGTGCAGATCACCGTCACAGTTCAGTCATCTTTCAAACCTCAATCGATTGGAGAATTCAAAAAAAAAAACAAGAATTCCATATATATATGCTGACTTGAAGACTTCCTTTGGTGGTCTTCGTTATCCTCCCGCTTAATTTCCGGATCATGTCATCTTTTATTTCTGAACAAACCCAAAGGAGGTAGAAACACAAGAAAAAGTAGTCAATACACGAGGGATTCCGGAGGGCAAGTTTACATTTACGTCGCATGGAGCAGGAGAGCACCAGATCTGTTTACGGACGAACTACACGGGAGGATGGTTCTCGACCCCGCAGGTGAAGATGCATCTGGACATCACCGTTGGCGAGAGTCGACTGGACCAGGACTACGAGAAGGAGCATGTTCAGGACCTTGCTGGCCGGGTCAAGGAACTCAACAACCGGCTCCAGGATATCCGGCGCGAACAGCAGTTCCAACGCGAACGCGAGATCCAGTTTCGTGACCTTTCCGAAAAAACTAACCATCGTGCCGTCTGGTGGAGTCTCGTCCAGATCGTCGTCCTCTTCTATATGTGTGTCTGGCAACTTCGCCATCTCAGAGGTTTCTTCGAGAGCAAGAGTTCGTCCCTTATTCTTCTTATATTCCTTATATTAACTTTCATCCATCAACTAATTCTCTCTTTACTTTTTTTCCCCCCCTTTCTCGATCAGAACTCAGATAATTTTACATTCAATATTAATTGTACATACAACAACAACAACAATTTTTTTTTCTCTATATGAATCATTCGATAAGAGCTATCAAGATAACCCATTCCATTCCAGTTTACTGTCTTGTTTCGTCTCCACCTCACAACTTTTTATTGCTCTGTTTGCGTTGTTTGAAGGAAGTTTTTGGTTTCAATTTTATTCAAATAGCAAACATACAAAAAGAACACTGGTCCACGAAGAAAAAAAAAGAAGATTAAGCAGATAGAACCTTCTTCATGATAGGTCGAGTAAGCTCAATCGGGCTTCATTCATGACCGGACTTAAACTAGGGGGTGATGTTCCGGGACTCTTTGTTCAACCTTAAGAATCTTATCGGGATTAAAGTTCAAACGCAAGCAAGTTGAACAATAGACAAGCCACTCGATGGGAAAAGGTGATTCAGATGAACCGAAAGAGGAACTTTCTCCCGGCCCGACCGCTCATGCTCTGCTTGACGGTTTCCCGGACGGTTTTTTCAGCCAGATCGGAGTTAAGATCGACGATGGTGGCATGCTCATGTTCGAGCAAATGGCCGCGGTCGATCAAGCGGACCAAGTCTTCGAGCATCTCTCTATACTCGCTCTTGGAGGCCTTCATGCGCCAATTGGTGAGCATGAAGCCTTCTAACTTGAGGTCCCGAAAGATCAAGAGTGAGGTGGGTACGACCAACGGCTTCATTGACATCCCTCCGTAGGTGACTGTCCCAACAATCCCAATAAAGATCAATCGGGGGGCCGCTGTGGATGGAATTGAGTAGAAGTTGCTCTGAAGAGATCTTCCTACTCACTCAGGCGACTCCCGTTCGACATCCATCTCATCATCCCAACCGTCTCGGCATTCCCACTGACACAATTGAGACCCAAGGAGATCGACTGACTTGGTTTCGGCCGATCGGCCAACTCGTCATAAGTCAGGATCGTCGTCTTGTCCTCCGATCCCAGACGAGTCAAATAAGCCTTAAGCTCTTCAACATTTGGTCTACGAAAATTCAAGCAAGTCTTGATTAGTTTCCTCGTTACCCTTTTTTTGTAAAACAAAGGTCTCAACGGTTCACCTGTCTCTGATCAAGCCAATGCATCCTAGGTTCCACGCTTTACAGAGCTGAAGAACGTACTGACCGACACTCGAGTTGGCCCCATTCTGAATGATCCAAGTGCCTGATTAATTGCGAACCCAAGAAAGCATATATTAGAGAAACCAAATCGAATGGAGAGAGAGAAAGTTTGGAAAAAGAAATGCTCTGAAAGCCCACCTGATGAAGAAGATGGTTGAGGAAGATAGTCATTGATCATTCGATAGGCTGTTGACATGTTGACGGACATCGTGGCCGCTTGGGTTTCGCTCAGACGTTCTGACCGGGGTATCTTGATCACATCTTGCTCCCCAAGATTAGTGTGGGATTGCCATGTGCCTAGTTGCGGTTTTCCCTAAACCAATCCAGATCGACGGAGGTGTGTGTGGGGATCGCTCGTTATTCACTCGTCCTTATATACCATCTCTATCTCTCTCTCTCTTTATAGTCTGATCAATAGTAGATTCGAACCACCCACCATGATCACTTTTTTGTTCATTGGTTACCAATAGAAAGAAAAAGAAAAACAAAAAGAGAAGCGGGATCATCAGTTTTCGATTCAAGAATCATTGGATCGAGTGTGATCGATCGAAGCAGAGAAGAAAAGAAAAGAAGTCAAAAGAGAAAGAGTACATATACATACTAACCCCAATCGCCAATCTTCCACTGCTTTGGATCCAGCTCTGATCCCAAGCTGGTCACTTCAGCCAAGCCTTCATTCCCAGAGACATAAAACTCTTGATCCTCTATTAAATCTTTTCTGATCGCCGGCTTCCATGGATATCTCCCTTGAATCGTATCTGTCGTTTTTTTTTTTTTTTTGGAATGATTGCAAGCGAAAGATTTACTATAAGTTTACTTATCTTTTTTTTTCGATCTTTGTTAAAGCTTTTGTAACTGTTGCAGCCCCGTCTAGAAATTTACCCAACTTATATCGGCTGGATCTTGTTTTTTCCATCCCCCCACACACACGCAAAAGAAAAAAACAACCCATTACAACGAGTGTTTTTTTCAGCTTTGTATCTTTTTCTTCAATACTGCAAGTCATGATTACTTACTTAGAGTAGACAGTCTGAATTTTAATCCTAATTGATTTGCCTTGGGAGGTCCTAGAGTGAATTCCCTCAGTTTCAACACCTTAAGACAGTTAACAATTATTTAGGTCAGCCTTGATTGATCTCTAATTGTCAATAATTCATGACAAAGGTAGAAAGGATGCAAGGATCTTCTTACTTCAGTTGGGTCACCATTTTGTGTGTAAGTGATAGCCTTGACCAGCGTATGATGGGATGCCAGTGATCCTAGTGGTGGTAGTCTCGTGAGCCTGTTGTAGGCGGTAGTTGGAATCAAATTCTGCTTGAATCCCATCTGTTCTTCTTTTGATGAGTTGGTTCTGTTGTTGCACCACTCTTCACATAATCTGATCATGCGCTTTCTTTCTCCCCGACGAGATACCCGAATCCACGGGGGATGTGCACCGCATACATACATCAACACACAGAAATCTTGGAATTCTTTTGGGAAATTCAACTTTTATTTTTCAGGAGCAAACAAACCAAATGGAGAATCACTCGGAAAGAGAAAACAGCTGGTTAGTCTCTCATTCCAATCTCAGCATATGTACTTTTCTACTGACCCCCAAGAAGAAGAGTGCCTCCAGATAGTCGATCCTGATGGACAAGTTCAATCGAGTACTCCATCTGAGTCGATCGGTCCACTTCGACTGTACCATCACCCTCGACCAACTAATCAATATCCCACTCCTCAACGGAAGATTCAAGATCAAATGGAAATTCAACCAACCCACTCAGGAACCACTCTCAACAACAACCTCAACCTCAACAACAAACACCAGCTCAACACAAACAGCAACTATCAACAACCAACAACAACAACCCATCGAACTCAACAATCACCCTCATCATCGTCAAGAATCACATCAACCCTCACCACCAACCCAGCTCATCGAACTACCTATCAAGGCTGAAGCCAGTGGAGCCACGGACTACCACGAGATCAAGAACCACTCGGTCCACTTCAGGCATGCCTTCCACTGTCCAATCTCCATCAACCTCGACAAACAGGCCGTCCTCCAGCCGAGCATCCTGACGATCCTCATCAAGGAAGAACACGTCAACGAACTCGGCAGGAGGATCGTCAGTCGACACGGCTCCATCGACATCGATCTCAGTCAGTACACCCCTCTCATGAACATCATCGAAGAAAACTCCACCCTACATCCTACCCCATCCGAACCTCACCATCACCACCACCATCACCATCACCATCAGCAGCAAGCCTCCAGTCGGATCGAAAAGGCAAAGTTCTTGTTGAGGGAATGTAAGACAAACGCCAGTCTCAAGCTGCAGATCCAAATGGACTATCTCGGTGGTATGACACCCTTCAAGATGTCAGTCATCATCATCACCTCATATCCAAGAAAAGAAAAACAAAATATTGACATATCTTCTTCTTGAATTCAACTTGCAGAGCAAAGAGCTTGGGCACTGCAATGTCTGCAACGAATATCAGTGGAACCTACCCGGAAGTCCAGATGACTCGGGTCCCGTCACAGCCGGATGACACCAGATCGAGTGAGTGCTCTCTCCCCCCCTCTTCAAAAAAAACCAGAAGATTAAAGAACTAAAGTGTGGGTCTTTTTTTGAAAGTTTTTAATTCACGACAATCAAACACATGTTCTCCAGGATCATCGATAATTTCCTCAGGCTCAAGCCAACACAAGTTCAACATGACGAGCAACAAGCCGAGCGGGATGATGGCGAAACTGCCCGGGGGGTCGATGATGGGAGGAATGAGTGCGACGCACCACCCCTCCCCACAGACGCAGCCGATGGTCCAAGTCTCCTCCCACTCCGGACTGGCGGGACTGACCCAGGAGGCCCACCACGAGCATCCCCAGGATGTGACCTCCCAACTGGCGAAGGACGTCATCGACGCTATCTTCGCTAACCCCGCTATCCTCACCTCTACCCACCCCGCGCCCTCCTCGACTATCAAACATCGGCGGGTGATCCATTCGACTCCTAACTCTCATAAGAAATACTCTACTAAACGCTCCATCAAGTCTTCTCGCTTCTATTAATCCATCGTCCATCATCCTTTGTTTCTATCAGTTTTCCTCCCTCTTCTCTCTTTTTTTTGGGTTCCTTATTTGTTCGACTTGCAGCTTGTCCATAGATTCCTTATGATTATTCGCTAGAGTCTCCTAGATGAATTCCAGATTTCATCCACATAGACTACATACTTAATTACCAAATCATCTCTCTCTCTCTCTCTCCTTCTCTATACATACATACATACATACATAATAATTTGTTTTACTCGGGGACGGGGTTGAGTTGAATGACAATCTAATATTCAAACAATTCCTTGAACCAATCTCACTTATCCCATCTTTTTTTTTCAAATCCCATATTGCATACATTGATGTAGAATGTGTTGATTGATTTTTTTCTTTCTTTTGATTGATGTAGTAAACACATGTAACTCTCTGAGATCATACAAGCTACATATATAACGGTCTCACAACATCTGATCTCTGGACCTCTTTAACACACAAACTTCAACCTCTTCTCTTCCTCAGCTTACACCATTCCAAACATGTAAAGATCTGTACCTCCCCCCCCCAAAAAAAGATTGGGCCAAAAAAACATCCTTTGTCTCAGCTATCCACAATTGAGAGCTACCAAATTAAGCAAGTTGATAAAAAATTGTTAGGATGTCTAATTCCGGTGTATGTACCTACATATGCATGCACAATTAGCCATCATTGCAATAAAAATGATTCCTGGTTGGTTGGAGTTTTCAGTGAGTTAACAGTTAATAGTAGTATGTAACCTTCACACTTCCAAATAATATCAATCAAAATTTTTGGCTGGTTTTATAGGATTATGTGATTTGTGTGTTTTCAGTTTTTTACACACCCTCTTTGAATCTCAAGTTGAAACAAGTAATTTATACATACAACCCTGGTGAAAGCTGCCCCACTTTATGAGATGAATAGTACATAACAAGTCAGATTTGGAGCCCCACAATTGTTCTATTTATGTCAATAACTACTGGATGTAGATTAGATGGGACTGTAAATATGTACGTCCTCGACATCACCTGATCGTGTTTTGATTATGTATTTATGTAGAAAAATGTGAAATGATGAGGGGTTGCTATGTTAACATATTACTTAAACAGTCTATAAACATTTTGTTTTATTTTTATTTTTTTTATACATTTACAGGATTAATTCTGGAGTTGTACATATTTGAATCATCAGTCTCTTGTTTATGAACAAATAATGAAAAAAGGGGGAGAGAGAGGAGAGGGCAGTGATGGATGAAGTTCATGAAAACTGGGTTTCCTTTCCATGGCTACACTGGGACAAAGC